TTAAATAGTTGATTTAATACTAATTTCGCTTATTTTTTAAAAAAATTATAATATTTCATTCAAAAATAAAAACATTTTATTTTTTCTCAAAACCACATAAAATCGCATTATAACATCGATAGAGCCAAAATATAAAACGAAACATTAAAATCAAAATGTATCTCGCTGCATTGCGCGAGTACCATTCTAGTTATATGTAATGGTTATTTAAAATCATAAATAATTGATTTTTTCTAAAATTTGTTTTAACAAATCCAAATATTACAATATATGTAATAATCAATTTGAAATTCTTTTAATCAATATATTATATTTATTAAAAAAAATTACCATCTTGTTTATATAAGATAATATGTCATATTATTATAGATTTATTTCAATTGTATTTTGAAATATTATAATTGATTAATTTTTCAAGTTGTCCTTCTTAATTATTTTACATTCTTATCAGTTAGTTTTGCCAAACATGATTTGTTAATTAGTTGGCTTATTAGCTACCAACTAGCTTATCAGATAGTTTGCCAAACATAGCTTTAACCCTAAAAATGATTACCAAATGAAACCACCAATTAGAAACTTTAAAAATAAATATTTAGAGAGAAAAAAAATAATATTTTAATAGATGAATGAAATATTTAATATTATAATCAATATTGGATTCTTCAAAATGAGGAATCTGTTGGAGATGAATGTAATTTTTTTTTAGATATTTTGACTTTTACATCTCTATTTTAGAGAAAATTTGAGAAATCTGTTAGAGATGCTCTTTAAGTTTTTTGGGACTATGAAAGAGAAGCCTAAGAAGAGTTTGTTAGATATATGTTGCAATAATGAGTCTGCTTGATTATTGATGGGTTAGAAACTATGATGTTTAATGATAGCATGTGTTTTTGATATTTACCAACATTTCATTCTAATTATAAAGCTACATTTTATAAACTAAACAGATAAAATTCTAATTCCTTTAACATATTTTATTTCAACGTCTGTCAACCAAATAGATGATCAAATCTGATAATATTTCATTCCAATTTCATTAAAGTTAAACTCCTTTGGCATATTTCATTTCATCCAAAAACAAATTGTGCACCAAACATCATCTTGGAGTTCCAACAATCTTCACTTTTTTTTTTTAACTTAAAATAGTCATTTAAAGTATCACGATTGTACAATTAATGTATTTTTGGGTTTGGGTTGGATTGACCAAACCATTTAATCATTTGTTGAAATCATTACTTTGATTGTTATCTATCACATGTTTATCATACTTATAACACTGTTTTTGCATCAACATGTGTAATTGCATTGTTCTGTAAACACATTATTTTTATCGTAATTTATCATGTATTTATCAAAGTGACTCCTAACACTGTTTTTGCATCACTAGGTTTATTCAGTCATTTTTTGTATCACACTGCCTCCTCACACTGATTTTGTTTCAGATGCATTTGATTAACCAATTTTGTAAATCTCATTACTTCGATTGTTTTGTATCACATGTTTATCACATTGATTCCTAACACTGTTTTCTCATCGACGTCTGTACTAAGGAGGCATTGTTTTGTATCACACAATTTTCACATTGACTACAAACATAGTTTGTAATTGTATCACACACTCTACTAACATTGTTATTTGGTGTGATGTTGTAATCGATTATGCTATACATAAATTAAGGGATAAATACAAATAATTAAGATAAACATAAAAATTAGGGGTGTTCGCGGTCCGGTTTGGGCGGTTTAACCTGTCAGACCACAAACCAAACCGTAATGGCGGTTTATAAAATTTTCAAACCGAGCGGTTTGACATCAAATGTCCAGACTGGTCAAACCAGACCATGAAAAGGCGGTCTAGTCTGACTGGTTTAGACGGTCTAGGCCTTTAATGGAATTTAAATGTTAAACTTAAAAAAACAAATATAATTTATAATTTTAGATTAAATATCCATTTTGATTATGTTAGATGTTAGGGATATATTTGAACCATAGCCCTTAAGTTAAAAAAGTTGGATTGTTAATATTAAAATAAATAATTATATATATATATATATATATATATATATATTTGGCGGTCAGTTTGGTCCAAACCGCCCAAAAAAGATTCCAAACCACAGACTAGACCGAACCGTCCGGTTTTACTATTTTCCAAACCAAACCGCTAAACCGCTCAAACCGTCAAAAACGGTCCGGTTTAACTTGGTTCGGCCGGTTTGAGCGGTCCAACGGTTTTTTTGAACACCCTTAATAAGAATTGATGAAAAATACACAATTACATTAAACCCTTAAATTTTCATACCATTTATTATAATTTTAATTATGGGTTAACTAATTTGGAGGCCCAAGATTATTCTCGCATTTTTTGCCAAACATAAATGTTCTCGTTTGAACCTCCGCCTATATATATATATATATATATGTTTGTGTGTGTATGTATTTATGTATGTATGTATGTATGTATGTATGTGTGTGTGAGAGAGAGAGAGAGAGGGGAAGAGAGAGACGTGGTTTGATTAAAATATCAATTTTTTTCTCAAACCATCTAAGTTGTTTCTGTTCGGATGAATCATTCGCGTATTGTCTATTAAAGCATCTCCAACAAAAACTTCATAATGTATAAAGTAGAGACTTTAAAGGCTATAACAGGACCCCTAAATCATTTTTCAAAACGAATAAATGAGAACGATGACACAAATTCTTTGTATTTGAAGAAATCTGCAAAATTTATTTTGCAGGAGTAACATCAGTTGTTCTGGTCAACATGGAACAAAAGAATATTTCCACTTAGTGCAAGGGTGTATTTTCCTTTCACAATTAATGCAATAAACATGCAATTTCTTCATATTTTTTACTCGTTTTCATCGATAACAATAGATTTTGTAACCATTATGTGAAAAAATTGCACATCAAAGTCAAAACCTATGTACCGAGTAAGATGAGGACAGATATAAAGATTGAATGTTTGTTACAAAGACGTTGCTTTTATGGAGACGGTGGAAGCGTTCTGGCACGAAGAACGTATAATACTGTTTATGAAGAAGAACACGTGATATCAAAAAGAGATAAAGATATGAGATTTAAATGAAATACAGATATACCTTTTATTGCAAAATGAGATCTGAGTTTTAAATGAAATTGCGACATGCTTCTATTACTTCCTTTTGAAAATCATAACTGAGATAAGGGGGTTTTGCTGTTTGAATTTGAATTTTTTTTAGATTTTAGACTTTTTGATTTGTATGAGTTTTATAGACCAAATTTTTAACGAATTTGTACATATTTATTCGTATTCCTGATGTTCTCATAAGTTTTTGAGGTTTTCTTAATTTCATAGTTTTGATTTTACTCTTTAGATGAAAATAAAAAGAAATAATAAAATGACGAAAATACCCCTCATATGAAAAACATATTGGCCATTTAATTAGGGGTGCTCAAAAACTCGACCAACCCAATCAACCCAACCCAACCCAACCCAAAGCGAAATAACCCAACCCGAAGCAACCCGATGT